ATGATGGTAAGATGATGTCATGGGGTAGGACTGGATAAGTCTGACTTCTTCCTACTCCATTCAAGCATGTACTAGGTATAAGCAAATTGATTAGCATTTCTTGGATATGTGTAAAATTATGTGTGTTGACATATCAACTGTCTTTACATGCTTGAAAGAATAAATCAAATCAAATCTTTTTTTTTTCTGATAAAGCATGTGTGTACTTCACTTTGTCAGTTTTCCAAAACAAGGTGTATGTATATATATATGTGTGTGTGTGTGTGTGTGTGTGTGTGTGTGTGTGTGTGTGAGAGAGAATGAGGAGTCGCACAGAACACCCCAAAATTGAGAAAAGGTAGGAGCTATACCTCAACTGTAATCTGCTCTAGCTCTCTCCTCTAAACCGTGTCAGGAGGGAGCAGTGAGGACAGACCTTTCTCCAGGTAGTTGCGTGGGGCCCAGGGCGGGTCCTCCTCAGCGTAGGGGTCACTGTACTCCACCACTGCCGACTCTTCTTCATCCTCATCATCCTCATAGTCCTCCGGCGGCGGAGGAGGTGGTGTAGGCTCCTCAAACACCGGCTCTTCAGCAGGTGGAGGTGGGGGTGGCACATCTGAGACTAGTAGTTTCAGACAGGTGGGAAGAAAAAGAGAACTTGTTAGAGGTAAGGAACAGTACCGCATTAGCCAGGGACACAGGGTGGGAATGGAGCAGGAGGAGTCCATGCAGCATGCAGGAAAAAAGTTGCACACACTGACTCAACGTGCAAGTATCTTGAAAGTGGGCATTCTTAAGGGAAAACACAGCAATCATCATGCTTCTGAAAACACAAACATGTCTCATTATTCATCATGCTTTACAGGTTTTCTGAACATATTGTATTGTTTACAAGTGGTCAACCACCAATTGTTGCCGCCAAAGGAACTGTGATTACATCGCACTCGTATTGAAAAAAGTGGCAACAGTAAACCTCTGACAGAGCCGATGTTGGCAGTTGATCACTTGTTTACTTCAGTAAGAAAACGTTCTGGCAAAAAAGGATGTGTCACTGACATTAGCTGTTGGGGAGAAGACTTAAAACGAAAGGTGGTCATGCAGAGGTGCCACTTACTAGTCTCCTGAACTCGGGCCACAAAGCCCATCAGAGGCAGCTGAGGGGTGATCTGCATGGAGGGGGGAGGGGGTGCAAGTGGGCCTGCTATCACCAATCAGTATTAACACAGGTTGTGGTCAGAGAGAGGGAGAAGAACAGCAAAGACAAGAGAGGAGATTAGAATAAACAAGAAAAGCACAGAAGAGAGTTAAAGAACAGGAACAAGAACAGCTGAGAATAAAAAGGCCAGACAGAAGAGCACCACCAGACTCTGCTGATCTGCTGCACTTCTAACAAGAAATCTTTGGGCTTCAGGTCCCACTTTTCATGCTAAATAACCAATTCAACACTGACTGCTACTCTACAGGATGCACCGTCTATGACTATGGTATATCTGTCTACATGGATTTCACTCACAGATGTTTGGATTATGTTTCATACTGTCAAGTTGTACGTAATCCAGGTAACGAGTATATGGGCTCGTCCCAGCCCACAGAAACAGGCCAATCAAAACACATGAGAGAATTTGCCTTAGCACTGTGAAATCTGAAAAAGGTTTCATTAAGAGTTCACCGATATCACCAACTGTGGATAAAGTAAGTAAAATCAGAAATGCTACTAAGCAGCAATCAGCACACCTTGGTTCTGGGCGAAGTGTGGTCCCCCGTTGAGCTGGCTCTGGTTGTGGGCCGTGTTGGGCTGACCGGTGACTGACGCGGGTCTGCGGTAGGGCAGGGAGCCTCCTACCTGTGGGTTCTGGGGCTGCTGTACGGGGCGGTTCATGCTGTAGAACTGAGGAGCACCTGAGAGGAGACAACACCAGGGGGCAGCAGAGTTGTTTCACAGTGGTAGGGGAAGAAGGGGGGATTTTTTTTTTGTGTCTAGATTTTATTTTAGGTTTCAAAAGCTTGATATACAATTCTCTAGAAAGCCATCCTGTAATGTACTGCATACTGCTGAGTAATCATTAAAAACACACACTACAACAAAAACGTGTGTGCAGAGCCTTTAATTAGCAAAGTAACTACTAGCCACAGATGTCACATAAACGCAGCACTGCGGAAAGTACAGACCTGCACATTCACTGATAATAACGGTATCTAGCCACAGAACGTAATTTGCACACAGTAAACAAAAGCCTGAGGGAACACAGTACACAGAAATGAAGGGCTCACTGTGCAAACATCTCCCCACTCAGCTCATGCATTATACATCAGAACAACATCGTCATCAACACAGACACAAGCATCTGATGAGGTGCTGTGAAGAACAAAGATCCAGCAGCAGTAGAAATGGGAAATCTGAGACTGGTGGCAGAAAAGCTGCACATAATAATGTGGAGAGTTTTAACAACCAAATTGACCTTTCTACTGGAGACCGAGATGGTGAGGGCTTTCAAAGTTTGCAAGAAACTAATTTAATAGCCTTTAAGCTTTAAAATAATAAGGTTTACCAGTGAGTCTGTGTTGATAATACAATTCAAGCAAAACTCCAAACCTCCCATGTATTTATAAGTGTGATTTATGAGTCAACTATGGTTGTTTTAAATTGTGCTATATAAATCAATTTGACATTGACAGTGATAGACAACACAGGCTACAAGCTGAGCACATCTGGGTCTCACAAGCAGGAAGACAGAGGTCAGGGGAGGCGGGATGGTGGGCATGCAGGAGTGGGTGAGATTTTCCAAATGGGCCACACTCACCTTGAGCAGGGTTGCCGTAAGTAGCAGGGCCTGTGCCAGTGGGGGCTGCAGAGGCAGGGAGAGGGGGTGGGGGTACAGGCGGGATCTCTACAGGGGGATTAGGGGCCTGTGGGGGGCCATCTAGGGCAGAGGTGAGGGGAGCGGGGATTGTGACCGAGGTGGTAGTGTTGAGGGCAGGTTTAGCTGGATTAGATGGGGCAGGGGCTGAACCTGAGGGGTCCACAGTGATCGAGGGGGTTTGAAGAAGTGAAAAAGATAAGAAGACATAAGAAAGGTGAGGGAGGTCAAGACAAGATAAGAATGAGAAGAGAAGAAAAGACTGCAGCAGCTCCAGGGTTCCTACACATTCTCATTTAATGTCAGAGCTGGAATGTGTAGAAACCTGGGACACTGAACAAAGATTAGTCAAGTTAGTCAGCCTCGGGCACTCTGAGGTCCGCTGGTCATCTGCTGGGAGGAGAGACAGGAAGCAGGAATTACCTGGGAAAGCAGTGGGTGGTGCTGGCGTTGGCACAGCGATGGGCACGCCCACGCTGCCGCTGCCGCTGTTCTCTCGGCTGCTGCTACGACTGCTGCTGGGGTGGCTGCCTCCGCTGCTCCCACTGCTGGTGGTAGGGCAGCAAAACACATCAGACCACAAACACTCATACACAGACTGCACACAACTGTACACTCAGACTTCTAGAAACAGCGGCACCTCTGGCCTAACTAGTCTTTACATCAAAATAATAAAGCCCAAATTTGAAAATGCTACAGTGCATATGCTGTTATAAAAACTGGGTACCTGCTACATAAAACCATTAAAAGGTTTCTGACTTCCTGATATCGCTCCTGGACCCCTACAGAAGTTCCCGCAGAGCCAATACACAGGCCATGTACTTTAAATGCAACTAACTGGGAATCCACACACTGAAAGTGGCACTGAAGCCTGATTCCATCCAATTCACACCGACAGTAAGACAACAGTGGTGCTTTCTGTGTTTGTCTGAACAAAGACTCTTCACCAGGGTGACAGAGCGCAGAGATGTTACTGTATGTAGGGTCATAAGAGGTCAATGGCATATTTACGTACAGTTTATTGATTTGTCCCGGCTTGCTTTAGAGGCTGAGGGAAAAATGAAACCAAAATGTTCAGAGCGGCATCAGGAGCCTGATCACTTTTAACTGATTAGAAAACTGTGTGATTTTAACAGCTGTCTGTGGAGACTATGCTTCACTAAAGGAGGCAGAGGGAGAAAAAAAAAAAGGAATAAAACTGAAGTTTATAAAAAATGCAGGGGGTCCAGCACGTCTGACTCAGCGTTAATTGACACATGATAAAACAGAACTCTATCTGCAGCGTGAGACGCTCAGTGTGAAACTGGGGGTAACCATAACAATGAAAAAACTCTGTCATTCATCTTTCTTGTCTTGTCTTGTATTTCAGCTGCAGAGATGGATGAGCAACCAGTCTAGAACAATACAGTCCAGGTACACTGTGTTCAGCATGTTTGCTGGCTTCAGATTAGTAATGCAGCACCTTCAAGAGAACTCATGTGTTAGCTTGAGCTGTTATGCCTTTAAAATGACTAGGTTTAAAGAAGCAGCTGCAAGCCTCACCAGACACATGACGCAGAAGCAACACAAGACAAAGACAGCAGGAAGCATCGACACACATGGGGCGGACTTTTTGTACAGCAGAAGAGTGGATGGCTGAGGGATGAAGAAAATGAGCAGTGGATGGAGTGAAGGGACAAACTTGTGCTGAGAGGAAAGTCAGGGGAATATTTCTAGTCTATTTCCAGACCAGGAATATTAAAAAATATTTGGCCAACAGATGGGGCGCAATGACAAAACCTTCCATGTTGTTCCCAGTACTATACTTCTTTCATGGCAGACAGGGGAATCTGTGAATATGTCTGTTTAGGATGAAAGAGTCACATCTTGGGAGACGAACTGACACCAGGTTGGCAGGACTGTGGGGGCGATGCTGTCTAATGACTATTACCATAGAAACCTGCATCTAGCTGTGCCAAATACAGCTCTGAATCTTTACCTCGTCCTCATTTCTTTGGCTTTATCTGAGCAGCGAGGAGAGCATACAGGTGAGGAATATCCAAATAATCTGTCAATATGGACTTTCTCTATGGGATGGAACTGTTGCACAAAAAGGTTAATGTTGGTCAAAATTTTGTTCACGTGGAATTAAAATGGACAAAGGAGTAGAAGTGCCTATATATTCCACAAGAAGTCATTTCAGAGAAGAAGGGGAAAGATACTCAGAATCTGGCTTGCATTGGAGTGTAGGAGAAGTAAAGGGGGAGCAGGAAGAGGAAAAAGGGGGTGTGTTTAAAAAGCATAGAGAGGCATGCTGGGAGGGGGTCGGGGGTACCTGTACGTGCGGTTCCTCTGATTAACGGATGCAGTGCGTGCAGGGCTCTGCAGGGGGTGCGCCATGTTGCGCGTCGGGCTCGAGACGTAGTCATTAGGGACAACGGGTGGACGCACCGGCTCAAGCGTCCTATAGGGGGAGTGGCGCCTGCGAGAGGGTCAGGAGGACAGGAATCGAGGGGAGGGAGAGCATCCACAGAGAAGTGTAGGGGAGGGAGGAGGAGGAGAGCAAGAAACAAGTGCAAACTTAAAAAAATGAAGTATGACAGGTGGTGAACATCAGGATAGGCTGGGGTCCACAGGTGGCATGGGCAGACAGGAGGGCAAGGTCACTGCTGTCAGCTAAAAATCACATGTCCATGAGAAACATACGTGTCTAGTACATGGAAACAGCCAACTGCTGGCTAATATGCTGCAACACAGACAAGTAACATCATTTCCTCCGCTGCCTTCAGCTCAAGTTACCTTACAGGTCCAATTCAGTTATGTACTATGTTGTTTTCTGTTTGGCTAAAATGTCTGACATCCCATAAACCAACTATATTAAAAGGAAATACAGTTAGGAACTCACCTCTAAGGAACACATGAATAACTAACACTTAACAGACTGACCTTGAACCATTTCAATCAAAATGTCTGTCTTGTTCGTCTTGTTCAGTTGATACCTGCTCTGAGTCCTTTGAAACAGAACTCATCAATATATGAAAGAAGTTTCTAAGTGTTGCAAAGCTGTTAACAGATTAACAGAAATCAAAGTCACTATTTTTTGGACAAGACGTGGGTTTTTACACTCTATCTCAATATTATATCAAAACTGACAACAGTTGTGCTCAAATTGGAGATTCCTCAGGGGCCAAAAGTAAAGAAACAGGCATCAGAGGGACTGTTAGCTTGAATTCCACCTGTCCTGCCATACTGTCCCTGAACAAACCCCCCAAAACATAGAAAGTGATTTTTATCCTGACAGCAGTGCTGTGCTGCTGATGTCCCTAGTTTTCAAAAAATGGAGACACAAAAATAACAGAGAGATTCTTTGACGTTGGCTTGTAAAATGCAATGGCATGTAAATTTCCCAGGTGACAGGGCTGTGACCCATCCCTGAGCACTGTTGCTATGGCAAAACCCTGCTATGAGGAATATGGGGCAGCCAGGAGTGGACGGGCTGGGTCACAAACACACAAATCAAAGTAAATTTGAAACACAAATGAAGAGGAAACTGAATAACAGAGGAGAAACAATAAATTAAGATCACAAAGAAGCTGTCTGCCTGTAGCCACAGGCTGCGGCAGAAGGTGCATCATGAAGGGTTGGAGCTGTGGTTCTTTCACATGCCTCTTGAAGGAATCAAGACACAAACCCACACACTGACACACACCTCTTAAAGGTAATATGAAGGGGTGGACACACTCAGTCAATCTCTGAGACAGACAACTCTGAAGGTTATGAAGAGGGGGTGGGCATATACACAGACATTTTCACACATACACACAAACAGTAAACACGACTTCACGGCCAGGAAGGTCCCGAGCGTTACATAAACACAACATTTATGTGCTGCACTAGCAGAGTCCCTGTGGGAGAAAAGACACCTTGAACAGTCAGACACAGACAGAAAACAGGAAAACCTTGACAGCTGTGGCGTCGTGGGCTCTTGCAGACAAATATAAGAACAGCATTAACAGTCGAGCCCAGAAGCTCTATAGATGTCACATCTCACTACTTTTTGATAAGGATCCCTTCATTTTTAAAAGCTGTGAAAAAACTGCACTTGTCTTTGTACAGTTAAGGTTTCTGATGCTAGCCAGCAGTTCTCTGTGCTCATTCAAGCAGAACAAAGTGAAAAGAGCTGTTTGTAATTTCTCGCCCTGATAAGCTTTGCCATCAAGACTTGTTGAATTTCAGAGCGTTACCTTTGTGATAATGTTCTTCCCGCACCCTGGCATTAGACAAATACCAATCAAAAACTAAAGCCTGGCAGCTCAGGCAGTTCTCAGGCCCATATCATTCTGTGTGGATTTTACTTGTGCTGCATTTGTGTCCGTTCCACGTGGGTGAAACCATTTCCTCCCACAGTCCAAAGAGATGAAGCCAGGGGGATGAACACTGACCGCAGACCTAAAGGAATCCGTGATTATTTACAGCAGCTTTCACACTCACACCTGTCCCTTATGATCCAGGGAATTTAATGCCATGTACAAAATGCAACCAGTGTATCTCCATAGTGCTGTATCCATGTTGGCATAAACCTGTCTGATCTTTTACATCCTGCTGTGTAGTAAAACACTAATAAAGTTAAGGAAGGATGCTAATGAAGGAAACATCTGTTTTGGGAACGTCTCATTTTTCTGAGCTATAAATTCTAAAACCTTACATCTTGACTTAGGAAGTGAGCTTTATAAATTAGTAACATTAGCAATTTATAACCATCAGTGGTCATAAAAAGGTGAGCATCAAGCATTCCTCTTTCCAGTTTTTCAAAGAGAAGAGGAACACATACAGTATGTACTGAGATTAAACTGTTTCTGGCACTAATGTCACCAGTTTTTCAAGCTAACAGGTCTTGCTGTGGCTAAACTTTTGCAGACCAGATATGTCTGAGCTGAAAGCATCCAAACAATTAAAAAAAAAAGAAATAACTTGAGCTTTAGAAACTCTCCTGCACGTGGACAGAAAGGGAGAATGGAATAAATCAGGTTGTAAAACTTATTTTTAAAAAAAGTGAGAAGAAAACCCATGTGGACCAGCCCTGAAATGCTTTTTACACCACTCCAAGGGCACTAATTACAAACAGAGCTAAAGGGGTGATGATGAAACTGGGGGTAACCAGGCCCATCTGCAGGGCTCGTGGTCTCTCAAAGCCACAAACATAACTCTGCATCCTTATGTCCATCTGAGCACACATCAAGGCGCCACTACACTTTACATACCCAAGGGTCCCTTTCCCTGTCAAGGGCGGACTTGGAGGCTTCTGTGTGGGGGGGTTAGTGCGAGGCAGTCCACCTCCTCCGGCCTTCATGTTCTGTGCACTGGCCTATGGGGGAGGATATTTGTTGGTTTACCACAGCACAGGAGAACAAACACATACATGAAAACCTTTAAAATACTCTGTCTTTAAAGGGATAATTTGCCAATTTCAGAATGATTTACTTTCTTATTAGGTGATAAGACCAGTACCACTCATATATTTGTGTTTAATATGATGCTGGAGCAAAGAGAGTTGTCTAAGCTTAGCATAAAGACTGGAAGAAGGGGAAGAACAGTTAGCGTGGCTCTTTCCAAAGCAGATCACCAGCACGGAAAAAGCTCACTAATTACCATATTACATCTCACTTGTTTAATCAGTACAAAAACTGATCGGGCGTTTAGCAAGCTTTAGTGGGGGGGTTTACTACCTTTGTTTCCAATCTTTAGGATGAACTGAGATAACACCTTCAAGTTAATACTGAACAGACAGAAAAAGGTGATATCACTATTCTCAATTAACTCTTGATGAGGAAGGTAAATAAATGTTGAATTTTTCCTTTAAAAGCAAACAATCAATATCTCAAAAAGGGAAAGAAAACAAAATATAACTCAGAAAAAACAAATCACAAAAGAACCCCTGTTCTTTGAGGCTCTTACTTTGATAGTCTTACCTTAAACCTTTGCAACCACTATGGTTGATAGTAAAGATAAATGTAGGCAAGCAGCAAGAGAGAAAGAGAAGAAATCAGAGGATTAGTGTGTGAAGGAGGAGAGGAAGAACAACAGTTATTCATGCAAGAGGCACATAAAACCAAGCTGCTGAGATCTGGGACACAACACCCCAGTGTGAGGATTTGAGGAATCTGTTCTTTGACACATCTATCAGCTTGAAGCTTTGATTTCACGGAAAACAAGCTTGTCTTTGTTCAGAAAGTCAGTGGAAACTAGATAAAGCAGCAACTTCATTAAATAAAATCAGTATTGGACATATGGCGACCATATTTATAACACATTTAGCAGAGTGTGTGTGCTGGGTGATATTAGTTTCCTACCCTAATGAAAAGCCCCACTCACTGATTTTTTTCTTACATTACTTGTCAGTGGAACCAGTCGTAGTTGTCTGACCTCTAAAAAGAGCGACTCTTGAAACCCCCAGTGGGGGTCCTGACCCAGGTAGGAAATAACTGTGCTACAGAAACTTAAAAACCCTTTTTACAAACAGGGAATTAGCAACTTAACTTGGCAAACTGGTTTATGGTAGGCCATGCTTCTGACTTGTTTCATAAAAATGTTTTTCTCATGCACAAATTAGTGCTTTTCCCACCCACATCTCTTTCACTTGGAATATCACCACTGAAAACCAGCAGAGTTTAATAAAGACCATCTCATTAGATTAGCAGCAGTAATTCCTCCACACAGTTAAGTGTAACTGGCAAAATGAAGGGGAAAAGAAAAAACTGCCACCTTGACTCCGTGGCCCATGTCGTCTAGAAGGCTGTAGTCGATGGGCTTGCGGATGTAGCGCACAGGCCTCTCAGGATTGGCTGGGGCGATGATCTTGTGTGTGCGGGACGTGTTCTTGTTGGTGGTGAGGATGCCAATCTCCCGTCGGGCTACCTTCTCTTTGTGGATGTCCACTGTCTGAGGAAAGTAGCACAGGACAAGACATTTTCTTTAATTTGGTGCTTTTTATTTTACTCACAAACTGCTAAGGCAGAAATCATTGTTCTTAGCATTAATATCTGTGCATCAGTTCCTGACCTGCGAAATGTGGTTGATGGAGGACTCCATGCGGCGGAGCTGCGAGGCCTGGATGTCCAGCATCTGCAGGACATTGTTGGCCAGCGTGTTGATCAGGTAGGCAACGCTAGCCAGCGACTGGGTGGTGTAGTTCTTGGTCTCCTCCAGTGCCCTCTGCTTGTCTGGAGACTGGAACAAAAGAGGAACATTTGACTCTTAACAGGATATATTTGCATTTCACAATGTGCCCATGAGGCTGCTGATCCAGAGCAACCTACACACTGAATGCTCTGGGTCAAAATTCTGTATTTTGCTCAGGAAGACTTGGGAAATATACATCTCAAACCACTGTCTTTAGACCACAAGGTCTACCTGACATCATGCTTGGCTTATTTCCAGTGCAATCATTATTTCTTATTAATCCCTAAAAGCTCTAAACTAAACATTTTTATAAAAACAGCACCCCAAATGCATTTGATGGCAACAGATGGAGTAAGCTGCTGCTACACAGGTTTTCAGTTCCAAGAAATATTATTTTAGTACAGTAAAAGGAAAGAAATCATGCAGGGAAGTGAGTAGAAGGTAATGCAACTGCAGCCTTGGGAGACAGTTGCTGGGCTGTGGGCACAGTAACAGAACATTACAGGGCAGATGGATCCACAGATGTTACTGCTGGGACACCGTGCTCCTCACTGACACAGAGTGCAGGGATCGCTTCTAACAGAGGAGTTCTTTTTTTTATACAAGTTACTATTTTGGGAATAAATTCATCATTTAAGTCATTTTTTATGCAAAACAAATCCCTTCTGCTTCTCAAATATAAGGTTGGTCTTTGTAAAACTGCAATGGGCAACTGATTATTGTGGAGAATGATCTACAGAGTAAGTAATAATGAAAATAATCATTAGTTACAACACTTAAACAAAACCGTCTTTTATTTTCAAACCAGCAGACACATCCTTCTGTGTACACAGCATAGCAGCGGATCGATTACCAGATGGACAGTAAATACACTAAGGTCACCGCAGCCTTTGGGTCTTTATTAAGATATTGACTCATTGACTTTATGTGCTCTTTTCTATTCAAAACTAGAGCTATACTGCAAAAGCCACCTGTCAGGGTGGCAGGAAAAAAATCTAATAAAATCCAGGGCTTGCTTCTGTGCTTCCTTTCTTTGTATTGTGGTGCCAAAGATTTTACCTGTTGAATGTTTGTACAGTGCACTTCAACCTGTGTTGTGCTGTTTTTATCTGATATTTCTGGCCAAACTGAAACATGTTCATATAAAAACCTAAAAAAGAACAAGAGACAGCACAATGCAGCTACAAGCAGAGGGTGTCCACACTAGCTGAAACAGCAGCATCTTCAGTGGTAGCTGTCTATTCCTTTCATGAGTAACAGCAAGTGCTCGTGGTGCTAGATGTAATCCAATCCAACAAATCATGTGACAGTCTGCAAACAAAATGCATCACTTAAAGCAGTGTGGAGGGTGCAGCTCTGATGAAATATGAGGACAAACAGGTTATGTGGCACAAGTCACGAGTATAGCTGCTACCTGCAGGTTAGTAAAGAGACACTGCTAACAGACAGGTGACACGATTTTTGCAACAACAGGACAAATACATGGAACAAAAACCATGGCAGCGACAGCCAAATGTTATAGTTAGTGGCTACAGAGGAAAATCCAGTTGGAAGAAGGGAAAGCCAGGTGATGTACTTTGCATTTGTAAGACCATGTATTTGCTTGGTGTGCTCTTCTTCCTCCTAAGCTGGCCAAACATACACTCAGTTACCAAGTTGCCACTTTATAGGGTGGACAATATCAGAGCTGAAATAATTATTACATTAACCGATTACTAAATTTAAACAAAAATTCTCTGATTCCAGACACTTCAGTAGTGTTTACAACCAGAAAATGTTTCTACATGTTAAAAATGTCAGTGACGTCAGGGTGAAACACACTACAGCCAACACAGTGCCTTAGGATGCAACTAGTCAGGGGCTAAGAATATGACAACCTGTTCATCACTGCAGCTGAAACGCTCTCTACTACACCATCGTGATCACTCTTCTCACATTCGACCTTGCTCTTCAAGTGGTTGTTAAAAGCAACAAAAAGAAATATTGTGTTCACCTTGAAAATACATTTGCAAACTTTTTCACACAATAACTCCTGGCACCAGACTAATGTGAGAAATAAGGTGGAATTTGCACTCTAAAATTAAAATTATGACAGGAAAATCATGATCTAACTAATGAATATAACACTGTAGGGCAAAGATATGGATCAGGGCTGAGTTTCAGAGGTGAAGTATCCCACTAAATATCGCCACAGTAAATACTTAGTCTATAAGTGATCATTCCCACATGACAGCAGCTGAGAACACCATGCAGACTGAGAAGAAACCATGGCAGCCTGCCAGACGGAAAGCTGCCAACATCTAAGGGCCTCTTCCTTCACAGGGCAACCTGTCAGACCTGATCAGTCCTGTTCCACAAGCAAGTCACATTTCAGTATCACACCTTGTCAAAACCTCTTCTTGCTACCACTGTCCTCCCAGATGTCATGCCTGTCAAAGTCAGGGATGGGGGGTATTTTTTGGGGTGGGGGCGACATCAAGTATCCAAAGATTGTTGAAAAAGTGAGCTACAGGATATCACAGCGTAAAGGTCTTAATATGACTGACTGCACTCATATACACAAACAAGTAAAACAAAATGCTATGCAAATCAAAAGCAAAGATGCTGACACGGACATGCAACATTATACCGTCTTTTCGTACGTTAAGCTTTTGATGCGAATGGAAATAGGCAATCACAAATATAAAACGGACATTAACGTATTTTCAGGCTTTAAAAGCCATAATTCAAGTCTATTTTTGAGCTGTAACGTAAAGATCAAGTCCCTGTGCTTCAGTCCAACACCATAAATCGCTCATTGACGCTTACACTGTCACAGCGGTTTAAGCTCACCTGTCTGATATCACGTCCTACATCCCTGGTCGGTGCATGATCAATTGGCTGCTGTAGATGCAGTGACCAGTCGCGCAGAGAGCAGAGGAATTGATTTTCACGGTGCCTGTTTAGTTATTTAGACCGTGGGTGATGCCGAGCAACTGGCTAGCGAGCTACGTGGCTAACGCGGTAGCCCACGATGGATGTACAAATCACACACACAGTTATTTCGATGGAAACAAAAACCCAGAAGCAATGTCGATATATACTCACATGAGCGTAACAGGAACATGACAAATCGTTATTTTTTATATGATCTATTGCCCCGACAGCTGGTTGTTTTTGCTTTAGCCGAGGCTAGCTAATACGGCTGCACCACATCGGCAGCGTTAGCAGGAGCTAACCTAACATCAGTTAGCCGCCAACAAAAAAAGCTACACCGTCTTTTCTTCCACACCTGTGGCAGCCTACCTGTACATAGTTGCTCTCGCAACACTCTGCCAAAAAAAAAATTGGTGAAACTATCTAGTAGTGCACTTCGTCCTGCAGGAAGCTCCTCTTCCAGAAGCATTTGTAGCTCCGCCATTTTCACATCTTTAGCGGAGCGGCGTGTGTGAGCTCAAGGGCGCCGCTGCGGCCCTGTACGGTACTGCAGGAGCTCTCCTTCCCAAAATTAACGTTTTTAAGAGAAATGCATTAAAACAGACTCTCCTCTGGTAAATGCTTGCAAAACATTTATGTAACTGTAACAGGCTTATTCTTATATATTTTAAAAATAGTTTTTAGTTAAACATAAATAACTTGTAATACAAATTTGTCCATTTCTTTTCTTAGGATGATCTCACATTTATTATAGGATAAGGATAATCACCTTTATTGGCCAAGTATGTTACACACAAGGAGTTTCCGGTACAGAACCGAGGCAGCCATCTGCACCGATGGCTCTAACCATCGAGGAAACCAGGGGGTTTAGTGTCTTGCCCACGGACACTTCAACATGTAGACTGCAGGCACTCGGATTCGAACCTCCAACCTTCCGGTTCGAAGACGACTGCTCTACCCACCGCACTGTCGCCTATTATTAATGATTACAGAGCAGTAAGCAAGGCTGGATTAACATCCGGGCATGGCTGGCCACTGCCTTGAGGCCCCAGAATCCAGGGGCCCTAAATGTCCCAGGTTTACTCCTTATCATTTGTTAGAAATCTGCACCACTGAAGTAGAACATCAATTACTCCATTCTCCACCTCGTGGGCCTCAACTCAAAAAGGAACTCTATGTCAAAATCTACAGTAGTTTTAAAACTTGAACTCGCTTTAGCAATTAATACACAGATATTGTCATTATCATATAACATAACTGTAAGACTGCCAGCAAAAATTATCTACATTATCAATGCATCTGACCATTTTCTTTATTCATTTATTGTTCAGTGCATAAATTGCCAGAAAATAGTGAAAAATTCCCATGAAACATCTTGTTCTAAACAAGATGAGCCCATTACCTTGGGCAGTAGGACACGGTGATGGGTACAGTTTTCTGATTAGATTAATAGTTTGAACCAAACTATTAATCTAATAATAACAACAGATTATTCAAAGATGAAGATAATCAATAGTCCCAGGCTGAAAACACCTGACACTGTTGCTCTCCACATTTGCCTGATTCTAAGTAAAACTGAATTTTTAGGCTTTGTTGGGGAACCACTGACACATACAACTTATAAAATGAAAATAACTCATAAAATGTCCATACATATTTATTAATATGTAAGATGGCTTTAAAAATGAATGAAATATTAAAATGCCATGTGGCCCATTTTAACAGACAGACAAGCCACACATCATTGGAAATTCTGACTCAAGGCAATTCTAGGAATTTTATAAAAACTTTTGGCAGCAAAAGTTGTTTTTCTCTACATTGTAGGGTAGTACACTACAGACTTTCCCTCCTTAACAGATGGAGTCTTCCAACAAGTGCAAATTTGACCTGTGGACAGACTAGGTAATAATGTTCCCAAGGCTTCAGCTGAAGAAGCACCAGAAAGACAAAGTTCTCTAACAGACAGGATCCTCCACATTCATAAAAAATACTTTGCTGGTCATTTCTTTAATCAAGATGATAAATACATGTATATTCCTTTTTTGGAACACGACTCTTCTTGCTGAGATTTTAGTTCTAGCTTCTTTTGCTGACGGTGATCCAGGTTTCATCTTTAGGTGTGGACACCAGCTCAGATCTGACCTCCAGGACCTGCCCTTTCAACATGTGAAGTTTCAGCTGCCGCATCAACGTGCTGAGCAGGACGGTAGCTACAGTGTAGGCAAACCTGTCAGAGGGACCAAATACAATTAGTGGTGAAAACTTTACTTAGGTATGCAGACTATCCAAAGACAAAGCTAGTTTTATGATGTAACATTTTTCTTTAAAACAGCAAGTTAAAAAAGTCACATTTGCTTCTTTTTACAGCTCCAAAAAACTTGAAATATATAACAAATTGTGTTTCTTCAGAGACATCATAACATTTAAGACCTGAGTTAGTCTGGGAGTCGTGAGTTTGTGTGTTAATGTTACTCTTTACCTGAGCTCTGGGCATGTTTGACTCCCTGAGAATCCGAGCAGACAGAAGCTCTTCCTGGCTGACTCCTCCTCAAATCGATCTGGGTCAAACCTGAGCGGTGTCAGATTAACCACCGTGTCAGAAACTGGGCAAATGAACATTTCAGTCTGAAAGACACTGTTGCACTAAGTTTGACTACATCATATTTTAGTTTAAACCTTTGTTCCCTAGTAAAGCTGCTTTCTCATTTACCTTATCTTCTTATTCTGCACTGTTTCATTCCATCTCATCCCATTGCACTAGTGTTTTATAAGCTTGCTGTAGTTTTGTAATTTAAATCCATAAAGTCTGTTGTATATTGTAGATTAGCCTACATATCTTACTGTAAATATCAATTGTACATATCCATCGGTAAATCAGTTCTGACTGTACAAACTGTAGATACTACGCACTCTGCACTGCTGTTATTGCACTTCTGGTTAGATGCTAAACTGTATTTCATGGCCTTGTACTTGTACATGGGTAATGACAATAAAGTTGAATCTAATCTAATCTTTCTCCTCAATCTGCCTGACCTTCTCTACATTTCTTCAGTGAGTGACATACTATAGTTTCAGGAATGACCTCTGATAAGTGCCAGAAGAAGGATGTGTTGCATGCTACCACACTCTCATTGAAAATGTTATCATGTCAATTCTAAGCAGGTATAATGCTCAATGGTGTGTCTGGACAGAAGACAGACAGACTGCACTGAAAGATACAGTATATCTCAGGCATTCAGATAGGCTTGTTTTAGCTGGTTTGAATTGGAGACCTGCCCAGTTACTTTCATCAAGCCATTTCCAAATGAACTGATAACAATGTCAAAAGTAAATGAAAAACAGTCCAAGTGACATTACCCTTTTAACAGTAAATGTCCTATGTATGCAGACCTGTATGGGGTGCTCCAGGTGTCAGAATCCTGTAGGACCACTCCCAAGGCATAGATCACCAGAGTCTGAAACATGATAACACTACCTTAATATTTTTTAACATGGTATATACTGTTTCTTTAATATTATTATTTGTATTTTTCACTTCTAATATAAGTGGTGACCCCAGGGACTGAAAATAATTACAGACTACTTGAATCAAACTATTTTGTTCAAGTTCCTAAACTTTGACATTATTTGGCCACTACAGTAGCTCCTTAAAACAAAACACTTTAGCAGGAAACCAGATACCTCTTTGGGGATGACATGGTGATCGACTTTGCCCTCAACTTCCTGAAGCCGAGCCGCGATGGGGGTCAGCTTGGCAGTCCTCACTGTCTCGTTGAGGACCTGTTGGCAGTATCTGTCCACAGACACTCAGTAAGATCAAGGTTCTGTCTGGATGAGCCTAATTGTGGAGGTACATCTTCACAGGAGGGTTACTTGTTCAAGTTGAATCTAATCTGCACTTTTAAATGTTAGAAACTTGGACCTTGAACTATGATGTTTGTATCTAGTAAATCTTTAAGATCTCCAATGCTCGAATACAGTGACAGTATGCATCATCCTTCAACATTTGATTAAAGTTGGTTAAAAAAATCCAAAGGTCTAAAGATATTACTTAAGCTCAGGGATCTTGTCCAGGGAAACTGGATCAGAGCCCAAAACGTTCTCCAGCTCCTGGTACAACTTCTCTTGGACTTCCTCTGAAGTGGACAGGAAGTGAAGTGCCCAGATACACACTGACAAAACACAGCATTTTACATTTAGGGATTCATCTGAAAAAAGGATTGGTTTCTTTATCTGGGACACTTCAGTTCAATTTCATCATGCTGTACATTTAAAGATGTCACCATGGGCTCTGGGAAAATGTGATCTATCTTAACTCATCAAGAAAATTAATAATGAATATTATTTTGAGTTGCAGCTTTAATTCAATCATTAATCGAACTGTTCATTGAGAAACAGTTTTGATAGTTGTCACTTACAGTTGGCAGTGATGACACATCCAGCCAAAGTAAAAACCATACAGTCCTCCATGATCTGAAACCAACAACAAATATTCATTTCAGTACTTTCCCAGACCCTTGTGAGAACTACGGATTTCTTTCCATTAACATTTGGGTTCTAAACTAGAGTGGGAGGCTTCACCAGCATTCACCTGTCGCTCTGTGAGGCTGGACTCCCGCAGAAAGTCCACAAACACTGTCTGCTTCCTTTGGACTTTTCTCTCCTTTGCCACTGACAGCAACACAGACTCCATCTCTGACAGAGCTGACACCCAAGGAGAAGAGATAAAAAGACAGTGTCATTTGCATGTGTTTTTTTTTTCTTTCAAATTTTGGCACAAACCTATAGTGGGCTGACAGTCATACTGGGATAACAGGTCAAAAAGACTGCTTTTCCAGCCCTTCAAACAACATACCTAAAATCAGCCAGCTGCTGGGTGCCAGTAACTACTGTCCTTGGCAGATAAATCAAAGACAGCTGTCACAAACAGCAGCTGTTCCCTGATCAAGGCCATATATTCGATGGGTTGCTTATGCACTGCCTTTGTCTGTTCTCAGGCCATCTGTCAAGAAGCTTTGCATACAAAGATAACATCTGAGCCTCTGCAAACCTTTCCTCCTGTTTCTCCACAGATGAACAACAGTAGAAGCTCAGCAGTGCTCCCACATGTCAACACAGAACAGGTGCAAGAGGGATGAATAAGAAGTGAAGACCCAAGACAAAAAAATTAGACTCAATCACAGTGTGTTTCCACACGTCAGCTTACTCTGTTGAGAAAACTAATGATGCAAACCTCACTCACCCTGCTCAAAATGTGCTTTTCTGCTGGAGCTCTTCTCCAAGGAGCCGTCCAAGTAGCCTTTCCCGATTTCAGACCAGATCTGGAGGTGTCAATGTGATTTAGAAGAAGAAAAATGAAAAGTGGAGAGAAAGTAATTAAAACATACATGCTTCAGACATCTGGTTTATTTCCAGGAGAAGAAATAAAGACCAGAATGCAACACACAAAAATCAGTGTGGGTTTGTGTAAAAGGTCCAGTCTTTTGTCCACTAGATAAACTCTACTGTCACTGTGGCTCTTCTCCTGCAGGTAAGTGATGTTTAGGTGTTTAAAGCAAACTGTCTCACCGCATCATGGTTCTTGCGGAAGGAAATGACCTCTGCGTCGTCTCCAAAGCGCTCACCCAGAGCCAGCTGGGTGACAGTCTTCATAGCCAAACCCAGTAAGTGAGCACATAGTGGCATGTGCTGAGCATCTGGGAACAACTTCCACTTTCCCACCAGCTCCTCCACCAGCTATTCAACAAAACATGATCACAAATGGTATATTAATTAATGCTTACTGCTGTTGTTATTTTTATATAAATATTTCAGTGTGAACTCTTGAAATTTTCATCAGTGAGTCAAACCTTGAGCATGAGAGGGAAGTTGTTCTTCAGCGTGTTATTGATGGCACTCTCATACACCTTTTTCCTTAGAATGGTCTCATTAGCCCCGCCTCCCATTCCTGACTTGTAGCCTAGCAATGACTTCAGCATGGTCTCAAAGGAGTCAGCTGAGAGAAACAAAGAATTTGTGACATATGATGATGATCATAAAGATATCAATTCTGGGCAACAATAATCAAATCCCCAAAAGTAAATGCTGGAAGACTTACTGGTGTGGTTGGGGTTAATGTGCTGCCGCAGCTGGTTCACAGAGCCCAGGCTGACCACCGGCCGTCCACCAAACCAGAAGGACGCCACAGACCCATATTCCTCATGCAGACTGACAAGGAACTCATGCAAACTGCCTCTGCTCACAATGTCCTGCAGGTTCCCATCCCTGAGAGAGCAAAAAGCCATGTACAGACAGTGAAGTACATTGCCTACGCAATGGCCTGCATGTGTGATATGGGGACAATCTTTAATAATACTTGGCAATAAAGTTTGACTAACTGATCTCTGTGAAAGTGTGTCATGCAAAAATCTAAAAACTTTTTAAAAATTGCAATCTAAAACATACCACAAATACAATATTTGAAAGAGGGCAGCCCCTTCATCAGCCCACAATATTTTAAAATGGTTTTAATGTTAATGCCAGGATATCAGACTTGCTTTGTCTATATAAAATCCTTTCAATAAATGATAAAAGTAGCTGCAAAAACTGATGATAACAGATAATTAGAACTTACTTCTCATCTGTAGGGTTCAGACCTGGGATGCCTGAGGCCCTTCTGGATGTCTGAAATATGTTTAGAAATGAGATTTCACCATTAATGCCAATAAAATGAGTGATTTATTGTTTATACGATTTATGATACATATGTCTACTGCCAACCCAGGCGCTCACTCACAAACAGCCTTCTTTAATAAGCTCACAGCGCAGATCACTTCAATCACATACAATCTCACTGAAACATTGTCAACTTAAAGCCCCTTCCCTTCGTAGCAACCTGAGACACCTTAAGTCTTTTGGTCAATTATCTCGAACTTCAGATAAAAACCGGAAACATACTGTTGCAGTTTGCAGCATCTGATTTCAAATGTATAACTTTAATAATAATTAATCCTAAACAGGTACATTAGTCAGCGCTGCTGCCCACCGAGGATTCTTAAAAATAGGGTCAATTAAACCAGATGCCTATTTAGTTCATTAAATTAATGCAATAACAAATTAAATTGGAAATCGATCTTAAGAACTCGACGCACTTCTTAAATGGTGTTATGTGAAACGTCTCGGGTCTGTTGAACATTACTGTTTTTGGGAGGACGCTGTTACAACATTGTATCAGATAACGGCCTGCTAAGTAGCTAACTTGAAGCTAACGTCAAACTTGCAGCGACTCACCGGGTACAAATAGAGAACAGCGCCGACCAAAATGATGACAAACGTCACGGCAAAGATTGCAAAGTCCAGCATGACTATTGGCTTTTAATAGCACTATTTCTACTGAAGTTTACTCATGAATATCTGGAGATTTCACCCAAAATGACAACAATCACCATTACCACGTCAACAGAAACTGCAGGGAAACAATGGCTTCTCTGTGCTCTACTACACAGTCTGAATGTTAGGCAGAGCAAACTAATCGAACGGCGTGAGATCAATATTTTAAAGGATAAATTAAATATAACTGTACAATTTTCTGATGACAGCCCATTTATAGACGATTTATAAACTGTAATTAATATCTAAATCAATGGCCAACCAAGCCTTTACTAATGCTTTATAGACCAGATCCACAGCTCTCAGTCTCAGCACTGGTTCCCCACAAGGCTGTGTGCTGAGCCCCCTGCTCTACACCCTGTACACCCACGACCCGCTTTCTGGGAGGATCTGACCTGGGGTGTGAATACCTCTGGACTTCTTAAAAAGGCCCAGCAGAGACTGGACTTCCTACGGGTGCTCAGGAAGAACAACATCTCCCAGAGACTGCTGGTGTCCTTCTATCTGTGCTCCACTGAGAGCATCCTTACATACTGTATATGGTACAGCAGCAGCACAGTGGCTCAGAGGAAACGCTCCAGAGGGTCATTAATACAGCCAGGAGATCGTCGGCTGCCCTCTCCTCACTCTGGAAGGACTACACAGTTCCTGCTGCCTCAGAACATTATTAAGGACACTTCACACCCAGGACATTCACTCATTGACCTGCTGCTGTCAGGTAGACAGTTCAGAGCAATCAAATCAAGGACCACTAGATTCAGGAAAAGTTTTTACCCAACAGCAGTTACCACACTCAATGCTGCTACAATATAATATACCTGTGTGTGAGGGGGGGTGTGAGAGGTATGTTGTTTATTTCATTTTTTTTAGCAGTTATGTTTTTTATATGGTCTTAATTCATATGTTATGTTTTTTTCTATTGGTGTACTGACTGGAGGTCACTCCAAAATTTCATTGTACCTGTTACAATGACAATAAAAGATTATCTTAGATATAAGTAATTAATGCATACAACTTTTGGGCTGCTAATAAATTCTCCTCAGAGTTTGACATTTTGCTGTTTTGTTTTAGCTTTAATTAATTAGTCAAAGCTTTCCCATGTACTGTTAGACTCATGCAGGACATCTGGACTAAAGCCCATTAATGAAGTGCTTATTAACATTAGAATGAAATAAAACAATCCTTTACTGTCATTGTAACATGTATAACGAAATTTTAAAGTGACCTTGAGCACTTTCGACATCTGTGAACTGAATTTCCTGAGTACTCTGGTGCTTTCTTCTTTTTCTATGAAATGAAAACATGTTGGATAAAACCTCATATTTAGAAAGGGATAAGCACATTCATATGTCAAAAATAAATAATAGTCTAGAGTACAACACATCCAGAGTTCAAAATACAGTGACAAAATACACTGCAGAAATGTGTGCAAATGAAAAGCTGTAGTGTTGGAGCAGATATACAGTCATTTTTTCTCAGGCAGCCATTTCTAATTTGTCCTCTGGTTTGGGAGGCTCAGTCTCCATGGTCATCAGATAACCTGACAAAGAAGGACAAGACAATGAAATGACCTGTTATCTTGTTTGTTTTAGGGCAATTTTTCTTTCAGTTATTTGATACTGAAGCAGTGTCCAACACAGATTATTCCCTCCCACCCTCAGTGTAGTCTGTTTCAGGATGGATGACAACAAAGATCCAAGCCAGGCCCACGAACAACGCCACTACCAGGTTAACTGTCACCCACGGGTGGAGAAGCTGGTGTTCTAAACCTGGAGGCCTACAAAGGAAAAGGGTGCACATCTGGATTAATATTGAAGCTTTGTTATAATTTTAAACCCTAACATGTCTCCTGTTGGCTCACCATAATGTTGTGTTGAAGGATGAGTAGAGGTTGATTCGATCACTGGTCATCTGCTGGCTCAAACAGAGGACCAACGCTGAGAAATACACTGCAGTTTTGGATGAAACCAGAAGAGAAAAAAAATGAAACAGACACCATCTGTATGAGAAAAAAGCCTTGTTTATCCTCAACAACCTGTGTATTTTAGATAGAAGCCAGTGTGGACTCACGGAATGAGGCGAGAGCCATAGGTTCCAGTGTGATGAACTCTCGCAGAGCCATGGTGCTTTTCGCCAGGTTCACTCTGAGAGCACAAGAGTTTCATTTTTAGAAAACACTTGTGTTCCTCCTCATTGTTGTACACACTAAAACATTTTACTAAGCAGCTTCACTGTAAGTAAAGGAGCATTTCATGCTAGTTCCATAGAGCTAGGGGACTTGTGGGACAGAGTTTAAAAAGAATGGTTAAAATTAAAGCAGCAGAGTCTGAGATATCCTGACTTTAGTCCATCTGGGTCAAAGTACTTTCAGTAAACCCTGAACCCAGGTGTTCATGTGTCTCTACCTGTCAAAGGTGGCCACAGTGCTGATGGCCAACAGCATATAGAGCAGAGACTGGGAGGGGTAAGCCAGGCTGTGGTACTGCTCCAGTAGGTTGGACAGCGTGGTGAGGTGCTGCCCGGCTAGCATGTACACCACCACAATGTTCCATGCAGAAAAGCCGGCCAAGAAGCCATGACAGTACAGACCAAGAACCCTGAACCAGACAGACAACAGACATTTACAGAGGGAGGCCACAAGCTCATGTATATTTTACACAAAGAAACGCTTTTCTTTCACCTGAAGCCTGTGTGCACACTGACAGACACATCTCTGGTGGTCCAGAGCGGCTGCGTGTGCTGGAAGTCTGTCATGTTATCTCTCTGGTCGCTGGTCTGCCTCCGGTCTGTGCGCTCTGTTGCATGGAAATGCTCTGCATGTAAACACACACACACACACATACATGTATAAGTTTAGGTGACCTCGTGTGCCATTTAACAGCTTTGACCACATCTTCATTTGTTACTTACTGTTCCTCTCTACAAAGACCTTCCTGACTGGCAGACTCTGACCCTGTGGGGCTGAGAACAGAGAATGCTGGGGGATAGGGGGCAGAGCGTCTGTTGCAATATCATCCTCTTCTAAATCCAACTCATCGAGAGGCTGTGATTCAATGACATTTGACTTCCTAAAATCATGAAATATAGTCGGTTATAAAGACATATATTGTCCGTTTTTATTCATCATATCTGACATATTTCAACACATTTTATTGTATTTGGTCTGGTTTTATTCTGTAATTAAAAACACATGACACTTAGATTAGCTGACTGTCATAAGGTGAATCAACAAATGCTTTGGTAATTGTTTAATCATTGCAGTAACTTTGAGGCAAAAATAATCATTTCTGACCATATTTTTGACAATTGCTTTGTCTAAAAATGTCTGAAATTTGTCAAATTTGTCAAATAAAATTTCCGGGTTGCAAGCGAGAGCAGACATCTTTTACTGCTCCTCTTGTCTGTTCTACACTTCAAGTCTTTGAGCATACTTTACAACTACTAAAATGCCTCAAAGAGGGAAAAGAGCTAATAAATCAGAAGCGACTGAGGATATGGAGGCAGAAGAAATGTATCACAGAGCGGCGCAAGTAAATGACATCGTGGATCATCAGAAACAGATGTACATCGCACTGATGAACCAACAGTAGGAAAGCTTCAAAGGCTTTGTGCAACTAATTATGGAGACAAACAACAAGAGACTCGACGACATGACCAGAGAAATACAGGAGATAAAAACGAGTTTGCAGTTTACCCAGCGAGAGGTGGATGTGATTAAAGCTGCCATGGGTGAACAGAAAACACAAACCTTATGCTGTATTTTTCTCTATTAACATCCCCTATTTCTCACAGTATTGATTTGTTTATGACAAGCTAACAGAGGGAAATAAGAGCCATTTAGGGCCAGTGAGTAAAGGTTGTGTGCTGGTGCTGTACATCAGGCACAAAGGCACAGCTTCTCTCCATACGTCTGCTGCCAGTTATCCTCTCCATGCCTGTCATTTGAGCTGATGGGTTTGGCTCAAGCTTTCTCCTCTGCTAAGCAGCGCCAAATAGAGCACAGCCAGCCAAAACGGCCCAAATGAAATAATAGCTCTTCACAGGTCTGTTCTTTTTCTTTCTGTGCTGACAGCAAAGGGCTAATTGAGCTCAGTGTTGTGATGAGAGTGGACAGAAGGTAGTAAAAATCAAAGAGAGTCCTTCTATATTACAGGTTTTTGTCACTCGTGCTTTTGATATCCTTGTTCTCAAACAACTTTAGCAGCTGGGGTGAAGTATCGGTTCTTCTGTGGAGCTCAGTTTGATGTCAAAAGAAATTTGTATTTTTATTTGGTTAAAGGTTTATACTTGTTAATCCTGATGAGGGGAAAAAAACATTTTATCCAGAATAATTTAAAATGACATTCTTTATAAACACTACTCTTCCACCCACAGCTAATATTTCAGAATGTAAAACTCCACTGTTGAATTCTTTCATGATGTGTTTATTTAAAATTGTTTTTGGTACTGGAGTCACAAAGTGTCAAGAATTTAACAACCGCCATGGGTGATTCTCATTAGCCCAGACACCTGTCAATCAAGTAAGAGCTTTACTTAATATTTTATTCCTGGTGGTATGGTTCTGAAAATTGGTGCCAAAGAGAAACAATACAAAAAGTAAAATAAAAACACAAAGACCGAGTTAATGTGAGGAAAAAATGGTTACATTAGGACTTTGGTATTGCCAGACTTTTTAAGCTAGCTCTTCCCCATGATGGTGGCCATTTTCACTGGAGAATTTAAAGGAGCATGTTCAGTCTGTAATTTGCTGTCACATGCTGAGGTTTGTGGAGGTTAACGAATCAAAAAATACAAACAGCCTGCCAGTATTTAATCCTGTCACCTTTGTGCTGTTAGCCGTTTGCTAATGTTACCCAGTTACTCTGTTGATAACTGCTGTTTAACTACAGAGCCAGAAAACTTTTGACATTATAGTAACTGACAACAAGGTACACGTGACATCACCAGGCCTGGTTCCAGACCTTTAATTGACACCAAAATTTCAGGTTTATTCTGTGATCCAAATTGCAGATTGAGAAACAGTCTTCATCATCTTCGCTAGGTAGGGATCTAGCAATATGGAAAACCAGCAACAGAAAAAGATATAAGCTTGAATGAGATTTGCCAAGCTTTTTGGGTTATTAGGTTGTCAAATAACAAAATGAACAACCCCCTAAATTGAAATATTTGTAAGATTGTCATGACACTTTCTTTTGTTTTCTGATTTAACTGCTGACTGCAACAAGTTTGCATCTGTGGTTAGAATCACTTCTTCTTATTGTTGCCTAGAAATTGTTCAGACATTGTCAACAAATATGACAGCTGCTATTGCTCTATGATGTCATTGTTTTTCTTCTCCTTTGAACACTCCATCAGAGACGACATGGGAGAGACCCTCTAGTGTACCAGGGACCCCGAAAACCTCAATCCGACACAAGAATTCCCTGCCTGCAGGTACTGCAAATCTCTCTCTCTCTCCATATGAACTCTCTGTCAGTTCAACTTCCTCAAGTTTTGGTGCCCTGCAGCTGTGAATTCTCCTAAAATTCCACGATGGCACAAGGCACCCACTCATGTGCAGCAAACACATGCACACAGACACTTCCTGTGACTAATTTTATCTGTGGCCTCAACTGCAGAACTAAGGCCTTCTCTCTTTCTAGAGAGCACCAGTTAGGTTTTGCTTAGTTGCTGTATAAAGTAAGTTTTGCTAGGTGGAGACTTACTATATTACAATAACTGGATTACAGTACACAGACTACTCCTTACTGTATGCAGAGCTTAGTTGTTACTAATACACCTGATAAATACTGTTATGGTTTTGGTCCAACTTCCTGTTTTGTGCTTTTATTTTGTAGCCATTTCATGTCTTTCACCAGATTTACACTGCCTTCAGCTATTGCTCATTTCATGTTTCAGCCTTTAAATTCACCTCACATCCCTCACTCCTGGTTGGCATTACCTGCTTCCATCACCTGTCAGATTTTTTTTCCCTGCTCCTGGTTTGTTATTTTTTGTTCACTTAGTTCTCTCTTCTAAGGGCCTATTCACTTTTCGTATCTTTTGCTCACAATAGTGATTGACGCTGTCATGATGCGTAAGAAAGAAAACTACTTTTCAAAATTCAGCAGGTACACCACAGGGCATGTGACTAGAACCAACCAATCAGCTTCATCCCTTCTGCAACAACATTTGGGTTCAAAGCTCAGCTACGACCGAGGACGAAGCTCTTGGATCAGCTGGTGAAATTCTCTGTTTTCTTCCTGCTTGAAGGACAGGGTGCACCCAAACAGCATTTTTCCCCCTCTTGTCCACAAATAGCTGTAGTAGCAGAGCTACTGCAAGGGATTTTTGATGCTGGAAATCCATTTATATCCTGAAACTTTGTCGTCATGCAGCACACAGCTCATGGTTACTTAGCAACGGCAGGCACCATGGGAGCGCAAGCTCCTGAGCGCTTTGGAAAGACGGAGAAAGCAGCATGGCTGGTGTTTTCTGCGTGTTTTTAGACATGAGAAGTGACTGGCCCCTTAATTTTGTTGTTCTGCTCTCTGGCTTTACGTTCTTTGTTGTATACCTTTGTTGTTTTAGTGTTTGTTTATTCTGGTCTCAGTTTGTGTTAATTCTCTTTATGTTAGATCAGAGTTTTTCTTGTTACCTTATAGTCCTGTGCTTCATTAATTACTGTGCTGTTTATTAAATACTAGTCCTTTCATCTAGTTCGTCTTGTGTTTGCATTTGGGTCTTCTTTTAGTTAACTTTAACACTTACTGACTTAAAGACTTGTATCAAATTAGAAAAATGAAAAGACAATTCAGCAGTGCCTTGGTTTGCTTAGTGACTAAATGAGTTCCTCCTGGATTAGCTCAAGTTTGCAGCTCATCTGCAGACACCAAGAACTAATGAAATCTCTCTGTGTATCTTTTCTCTCCTCCTCCGTCTCATTTGTTTCTCCAGTAAATGGATTTCATTCAGGTGGCAGTCCCTTGCATCATGTAGAGCATTCACACAACAGTCTGGTGAGGAAGAGCAGTACAGAGCCACAGGTAAAGCTGTCTGACTGTTGTTCTGCACACAGCATTATGCACATCTACTGCAGTCTAAAAGTATTGTTGAATGACCATAAGGTTTTTACTGAGTCATTTATCATACTGCTTCCTTTTTTAATAGTCATTTAATGGACAAAATATGTTACTACATATTATCTCAGCTTCGTCTCTGTGATTTGTGAAAGTATTCTTTTTCTTTTTTAGTATAATATGTGTGTGTGTAGAAGTGAATCATTTATTGCTTGCAAACCAATGATGGTAAGATGATGTCATGGGGTAGGACTGGATAAGTCTGACTTCTTCCTACTCCATTCAAGCATGTACTAGGTATAAGCAAATTGATATTGGATTAGCATTTGTTGGATATGTGTAAAATTATGTGTGTTGACATATAAACTGTCTTTACATGCTTGAAAGAATAAATCAACTCAAATCAAATCAAATGTCTAAAAAATGTGACAATAAAAAAATATACAGCCGATTAACGGATAAACATAATCATTAATTGCAGCTCAATCCGATATAACATTATATAGTGTAATACTTCCAAAAAAGTTTCTTTTTTTCTTTCTTAGCATTTCTTACTTTTTCTTTCTGGGTTTTTTGACCACTTCCTCTCCATCATTGGTCTGATCCGCTGCGTCTCCATTCACTAGGTCAGCTTGGTCATCCTCAAGATCTGAAACCCCAACACGACCATAAACCTTTACTTTTCTATATGTCATAATTAACTTCTGAACTGCTCATGCTATAATTAAACACTAGTTACCCAAGTAGGGCCACAGTAGCTGGCCAATCTTGGTATTTACTCTGAGTGAGCAATAATCTCCCTACTCTCCATTCTTTTTAGAGTCAAACTGTTTTCTTGTCATGCTCAAAAGCCCCCAGATCTTAGATGTTTTCATTTACATCCTGATTAAACTACAGCATTTGAGTGTTAGTAGCTGACTGTAAAATACAGAAAAGCATTCAGAGTAGAACCTGTGTTGTCAGATTTTACCTATAGTGGCAGTTTTCTTTTTCTTCTTCCTCCTCTGTGGAGGTGCGTCCGACATGGGTTCAAGGGTAAGCTGCTGTCTGATTCCAGACACCCTCCTGCTGGCTGGACCTCCCATCTCCATCCCCGGATCTGCACAGGAAAAGTGGAATTAAGAAGTTGTATGTGATTTATTCTGCAAGGTGGAAAGAAGATGAAGTGAAAAGAGTCAGGGGTAGCTCACCTCAACACTGAGACATGTTAATAAAGTCATACAATTGCTACCTTGCAGTAATGATGCTCATGTTTTTGAGATTCCAAAACTACATTTCAATGTCGTTTCTTCATTTTTTAATGGGAAAACTGATTATTTTTCTTATACAAAGCACATATACTGTATATTTGAAGTAATGATTCTCCATTCTAAAATATTTCCTACACATCTGCAATTATATTTGGCAGCAAAACCCATACCAAAAGATAATTGCCAAGTCCAACAGAATTAGGACAAGACCCCAAGTCTTTTTGTGGGGGTGATCTAGCCTTTTACACCACTGCAGTATGACAAATATATTTGATGCTGCACAGATGCAAATATTTGTGTTTCATACCGTCCATATCATCAACCATATTTGTCTCCTTTCTCACCCTCTTCTTCTTATGTTTTGAAGCTGGAAGTTGTCCTGTATAAGACAAGGAAATCAGACCAAAGCTTCAGTACAAATTTAAAGAGCAATACATCAAAAGCTATTTCTATTGTCCCAAATTATGACTCACCAGATGTGTCTTGACTTCATGTGTCCACCCATCAGATAAAAGAGAATAAAACACTTTAGTATGGCAGCATAAAAATGGCAGATGTAGACAAGACTGTAGCAGTTATAAATGAACACATTCCCCTACCTTGGCAATGTGGGGAGAGCTCGCTGCCCTCGCTGAAGAGACAAAAAGAAAAATAGACAAACAATTCTTGAAATCTTACATGCTTATAGATTATAACTCTATCACGAACAACTATGCTGAGAACTACAACATGAAAATAAAAAATCTGACACTTATTACAGTTGGTTTGGGGAAGGCGCTTGGTCTCATCAAACATAGTGAACACACATTAACAAATTACCTCTCCTCGGAAACAACAAGCCTATGTGCAAGACAAATTTGCACAATCTATAACCTGCTCTTACAAAACACCCTAATAGGCTATTTAAGTCATGGCCACTTACATGGATTCTAATAGAGGTTTTTACAACTTTTTCAGCTACAGCACAAAGTCAGATCAGACAGGAAAGTCAGAAACCTTACCATAATCTTTCTGACCATGTCACCAAAGAATCAAGTAAGCGCAGAGTGAAGCTACTATACACAACATCCTGGCTGCTAAATCCTCGGCTAAATCTGTGTTCATTCATCTGCCAGGACAGAGGATTACTCAGGGCAGAGATCAAAACTTCAAACTCCTGCAGCAGCAACACTGTGTTTATATGTGTGAAATGTCAAGAAAGTCTGGGTTTAATCTTTCTATCAACGTCTACAGAGGTGGTGTATAAATACCAACAATGCATGTGTATTTAAAACCAACAAGCTACGGCTAGGCCTAATTATTATTTCCATAATAGACTAATTAACATCAAATCGTCAGCCTCAAAATGACCAGAAAAGCGAAAATTCCCTACAACCTAAGGTGACATCTTGCTCAACCAAACTCAAAGATATTCAGTGTATATTAGAGAGAAAACCAGCAAATCATCTCATTTCCAAAGATGAAACCAGAGAAAGTCTGGCATTTGTTACTGAAGGTAAACTGACTAATCCTTGTGGCACTGGTCGATTTCTAAATTATAAACCCTGTTTATTAAGAGACCTGTTTATCATGTATTAAGTGATATTACTAAATATCTGTTTCAAATACAACTTAATATTATGTTGGATTTAAGACTGTTGAGACTGTGTAGGGCATTACTTTCATTAGTATCATTATGTACAGTAGTACTAGGACTCAAAGTCCTTGTGTGTTCAAACATTCTTGGCCATTAAAGAAGATTGTGACTCAGCAAATTGTGATGGGTGGATGGATGTAATGGAAATCTTAAGATTTATACAAAGTAAAAATAAATGTAATACATAGTATACACTATAGACAAAATAAACATACAATATGCTATACAACAAGAACGACATGTGCAAACAAGAAAAAGGAATGTGCATTAGAAAGATAAAAAATAAAAAATAAAGCACACACATAAAATCACCTGGGTTTGATTGACTAACCTGTGGAAGAGGCGGGAGCTCCCTGAGTCGCATCGTCTATCATGAAAAAACAGCGATTATTTACAGTACAATGGTTTCAAGCTACTTTATAAGACGCATCCTTATTATGAAATCGGCAATGTTAACATTACGAAGCTGAAAATATTAATTAGCCACTAGCTAGCGTTACGCGTATTAGTTTTAGCAGTTGGTAATTAGTAATGCTGTACCAAAAATAAGGCACAAACTCTAAGCCAAATACATTAATACTGTATCACAAATGTCGTCAAGATAACATTTAAGCCTGCTAGCTAAACATTAAGCCTCCACTTCAACGTTTCCGTTATTTGTTAGCTACCTACCTTTGAATCTCCCGAATCCATACTTGAAATGTCTCCCGAAACCTCTCCTTTAAATATTCAACAACTTAAATAATAATTTAGCTGATAAGTATATTTTAACAAGTACAAGAGTTTAGAAGTCAGCAAACGTGACCTGTATTTACATTCTTCAAGCAGAACAAGCGGTTACCCGAACGTATTTACACGTCGCACACAAGACGTCCTGTTTTCCTGTTTCTTCAAAATAAACGCCATATACATCTCGCGGGTAAAGTATTAAACACGTCACCATTTTGCTCAGTAAATATATTCGTAAAGAAATGTCCACCAGATGTCGGTCAACCCACATACAAAAAAGACAAAACAAATAAGTTCAGAAATTACATTATGTGTAATAAAATGGAATGGCACATGGAAAAAGTATTGAACGCTTACTGAAATGTATTTAATTAATATCAGCTGGTTCAGTCCCAACTGATGGCCTATAATATATATATATATACACATACATACACATATACACTTGCCTTGTACGCAGACGTACCATCGCCTCAGTTCTGAATGGGAGAGTGGCATCTGAGATCTCTGTCCAGAAGAGTGCAGTCCTAGGAACAGCCAAGATACTGCACAGGACCCTCAAGCTCCCAGGCCTCTGGTAGGGGACCCAAGCTTGAAGGAAGGAATAAGACCGCTCCAAAGTGGTGGATGAGTGGGGAATTTTGTTTAGATGTATATAAAAATCATACATAAAATAAAAGCCAAGGTAACAAGGGCTGAATGAATGAATAAATTGCTATTAGCAGTGTTTTTAATGTCACAAACATGTACAAATAATAAAATGTAATTGTCTTGCATGCACAACTTGAGAAACATAGTTGTCATCACATTAATTTGATGTTGTTTTGTGATAGCTTGCCTAACACTGCATTTTCATAATCGTAAAGCTTGAACAAGTTTTGGCTTTCAGTGACACTTTTTAGGCTATAGTAGCTATAACACAAAGAAATGACAGACAACACAAAACATTTAACAAAACCTTTGCTCTCTAGTATGTCTATTGGAAAGAGATGACATTTTATTGAAGGTCTGTGGTCATGCATGGGGAGCAGGGCAGAAAATTAACATGTTTTTCTGTAGTTCCAAATGCCCCAGGTTGTAGAGGTACAATTATTGTTTTAAAATAATAGCCTCAATGACAGTTTCAAGGATTTCTCTGGGTTTGAGTCCATCAACATCTTATCTTTGGGGATTTGGGATTTGAAGTGTCTTAAGAACCAGATCAAGCATGCCAGACAACTGGATCAACATTATTTAGAATTCTTTCATGCCTTATTCCCCTATAACTTGCAGCATTAGACATAAAACATACTAATTTCAATATATAAAGCTTTTTCGGATGATTTTTTTTTCTCCCCAAATGTGTTGCCCCTTTGTCTCCTCCTCTTCCATCCTGTCTTACGACTCAGTGGTGGATCGTATCCAGCTGGCAGGAACCCACTGCGGCTCGTCCTGGGCCTTTCTCACCGCTGTCAACAGCTGGACACATGAGTCCTGCAGTTCATCGTTGACAATTACGTGATCAAAGAACTGCCAGTAGTGGGACTCAATCTTCCGGGCTGCTTCTTCCATCTCCTGGAAGTCTTCATCCTATTGGACAAAATAAGAGCCAAAAAGATTCTAATTTATTCGGGGTACTGGAAAAAATATCTCAGCTAAAAAAAGAAGCGTGTCTTTGCTTAGCATCTATTTTAACATCTAAATGTTGTTTATCTCTATCTCATCAATGATTCAACAAAATTGAAATAGTTTTTTGCCCTCTTTACAACATTGAAAACACTTTAAATCAAGAGAAAAATCATGATAAAAATGGTCAGTCTGACTTGCACTTTCCCTGCAAACAAGTACCAAAAAAGTCTGTATCAGTGTTGAATGAAAAAAAAAAAGTAAGGCAGGTTCAAAACGGATCAAAATAATCTAAACCAGCCCTGGGCTTACTTTGAATGTCCGGTTGACGTAGTAGTTGGTGGTGATGTACGAGTCTTGTCTGGTCTGCCGGAGGCGCTCCAGAGGCGGAGGCTTCACGTAAATAACATAGGCTCTCAGTTCATGGGTCCTCACTGCCTGAATAGACTAAACAGAGCGATAAAACACAAACGAAGAATGACAAATTATAGCTACTGTGTATATCTTTATGCAAATGTGACTGGAAGAACAACATGTACTTATATTAGTGGTAATTTTAAGAGCTTATTTTCTAATGGTAACAGAGTGATATCAATTCAGAAATAAATAAAGTTATTAAACTTTGAAATAGATAAAAAATTAAAGTGTACATATGTTCTGTAGTACTTACGTTTGGCTCAATGTCAATGACACATATCTTTCCACTGTTTAAAACTTCCCTCACAGACTCAATGCTGGTGCCGTACAGATTTCCTTTGTGCTCCCCGTACTCCAGAAACCTGCAGGACAACAAACATTTTAAATGAGCACAAAGGAACTAGTAGTACTTAATACTTTAAAAAAAGTTATTCACAAATTAATTTTAAGAGCTGCAGGCAAAAGTCTGGCCAAATTATGTCTTTTGTTGATTTTTGATGTGAAAATAAGTAAATACAACCCCTGCAGCAAATAGATAATACAAATGTCTACAACTAAACAGTAACTTCATAACTTATTAGGCCTTGTAAGGCAGGTCAACAAGTGTCTTCAGGAATCATCAGCTAATGACAAATTCTTTAAATCATATTGAACTAATCAGGAGAGTCAGTGTGACGTTTCCACCCACCAGGACACAACAAAACACCATCCCCTCACAGTCTGTCAATATTAGCAGTGCATCATTAATATCTGAAGGAAATGTTTTTACCCTCAAATTTTTGCCTATATTTAAAGCTTGTCATCATTGTGCTGATGAAATAAAAAAGTCAACCAAGATTTTTGTCAAAATCACATTAGAATTATTCCAATTACACTACAAAGAGGATGAATAAGTAAAAATGCTTCTAAATATGTTCAAATACTTATATTTATATTTAGTTAAAGAGCAATTTGTAATTTAAAAAGCATAAAGCTGAATATACTGTGTTTAGTTTTGACAAAGAACAGCAATGATCTGTGTTTGTCTCCACTATATCATTCATCATTCACATCAGAGACAAAGTGACAGTCGTGCCTGTTGTTATAAACCATGTTGTTGAAGATTTCTCGGCTGGTGAAGAAATATTCTCTTCCAGACTCCTCATATCCTTTTGGGGCTCTTGTGGTGTCTGATGAAAGAAAAGAGAAACCTTTTGATCAGGCTTCATACATAGATTTTTTTCTCCAATGAGACAAAAGATTTTCATACAGTCTGACAAAAGCACAGCTTTCAGATAGAGACAATAGTTTTGTGCATCATATGTTCTAAAATAAATTTTGGCCATTGGTTAACTTTAAATTCATGGGATGACGTACGAGGTACAGCTCCCTGGAATATGCTGGGGTTCATTTCAATCAAGTGCCTCCGAAGGTCATTCACACCTACGCCAGACGGACCTGAGGAGAACAGAGAACCCTTAAAACCTACACATTCAATCAGAGTGATGGAACTGCATTTCATTGTTAAGATGGAATGAAACTGTTAAAACCAGTAGTGTCCACTCTGCAAGAGTTAATGTACCTGAGAGGGCGATGGGGCGGTGAGCATCCTGCAGGTCGCGCTGGTAAAGCACCACCTCCTCATAGGGGCTGTTGAGGGCCCTGCAGCAGCTGCTGGAGCAGCGAGTGTGGCAGGATGGCTCGGTGGTGCTGTGAGAGTGTCGCCTGCATAGACGCATGCTGCGCCTGAAGCCCGCTGAAGAAAACATGAAAAAAAGAATCAACTAATCTTTGAGGAGTTAAACATAATTTCATGATAATAACAAGTTAGAAAATGGTAATTTCCCCTTTTCAATTTCTCACTTCAACCTGACTTTTAATGCTCAGATATCAGTGCAGGTAAGTATAATACTGTTCCAGTGTTTGGAGAATTACCTAGATAGATCCCTTCAGTATTTGTGCTGAAGTCATCCTCCTCTGGTTTTCCATGATGTGAAGCAAGGTTGAACATATGAATGTAAACACAGGAGAAAAATTACTTTTATGATAATAATGATATGATAATATGACAATAAAGAGGTTGGCATCTTTAGAAATTAAGAGCAACATTGTATGAAAAATCCAGTCTTACAATATCTTTTACCTAATGTTAATAATGTGACAATGTTCTGAGCATGACTAGTAGCATGTAAAAAATCTATTTATTTGTACTATCATATTTGAATTAAAAAAAAGAAAAAGGTGGTCAAAAACAAAGCAGCAGAATGTTGGTCAAAAATTCAACAATTCTACAACTCCCATAATGCATCAGACAGATTAAAACACAGGGTTACTCTATACTAAACATGCATTGTGAATTTTTTTTACAGTAATTTACTGCACATTAACTTATTTTTTTTGTGAATTTTTGGACTGTTTCATTTCTTCACTTTATTTCTTAGGCTGTCCTTCATGCTTTCACAATAGACTACAGTGTGCTTTAAGGTAGATGAACAGAAGAATGGGTTTCTCACCTTCTCTGAGCTCCTCTGACATTTCTCCGTCAGACAGCACAAAGGTTTGGAAACAAAACAACAACAAAAGCTTCAGATGAAGGACGAAACAGAGATGCTTTGAATCCACACAGATTAAATCAACAAAGACTTACCTACCAGATTCAAATACCTCCTCATCTGTCAGAAAGAAAAAACACACAAAGGAGGCAAAGACGTGGTAAGGACAGGTCAACAGAGTGATTAATGACAGGTGAGGCTTTACCTGCTTCAACACATTTCTCATCAATGGCCATCATATCTTCCTCTGTGGGTGGAAAATAAGCGGAAAAAGGTTTTTTTGCAAAAAAATATGTAATTTTGAGCTTTGTTTAAAACAAATGTAATAGTGCCTTACCTTCTTCTACAGTGCTCACTTCAGAAAGTGTGGGGTAAAACACAATGAACACTCAAGTTGTGAAACCAAGCTGTACAGGAAACTGCTTGGACTTTTAGTCTGAGAAAAGTCAGAGAAAAGCTTACAGGTCTGTACGCAGGCGTGTTGGTGATAAGGCTGAGACCACGAGAACTCCCTCTGCTTTCTGTTAAAACATTCAGGTTTAAACGATTACACACAACATACAAACTACAACAAATACATTGCATCGGCTTTCAAGTCATAATGCTGCTGGTGAACAGTTGGTCTATAAAGTTTCAGGAAAAATTGAAACAATTTCCCAGAACCCCAGGGGATGTTTTCAAATGTCTGTCGAAGTAACACTACAAAATCAAAAGAGTGATGAAATGAATCAGAAAAAATAAACAAATGATCACACTAAAGAGGCTTGAAACAACAATTAGTCTACATCAAGCTACAAGGACTCCAGCAAAGCTTATGTTTAAGTACAAAGCATATTTTTGTCAAATTAATTTAACTACAGTGGAAAGAAATGTTCCACTGGAAAGTCTGACAAAAGAATAGTTTTGCAAGAAACCTAACAAATACAACCCTTCCTGACCGTTTGAGCAGGTTAGTGGAGGGGATGAGGCCCGCGCAGGCTGTGGTGCGTGGCAGTCTCTGGGCCTGCCACCAGAGGACGTCCGTCTGGTCCACGATCTCCAGGACATCACCTTTTCTGAAGCTCATGCCAGCGTCGGCACAGGGGATGGCTGGGTCATGCTGAGGGCTGTAGTCAACCATGGCCCGCACATACAGCTAACACACAACAATGCAGGTTATCAAAATGCCATGTGGATGATTTTGTGTGTAAAACAGGCAAAAAAAAATAAGGCAGGTAAGATGATGATTTACCATGGTGTGGTTGTGGACTGGCCTTTCTGTGATGGGAACCACCTTGAATGTGACAGTGCCTTGTGCCCTTGCTTGCTATAACGAAGCAACATGGATTTATTATCAGAGGTGCATGTCTCCTGGACATTTTAAAGCTTTACTCAGTATAAATTTGTGAACATGGGTTGAATTAAAAGGCTGTTCTGCCTCATGCTTTTAAACTAATTGTTCTGGAGGACTGCTATAAATCCTGATTAGCTTGTGACATTTATAGTTCACCAGACAGGAGATCAGTAAGTGTTTCATCAGACAATGACCATACCACAACTTGGATAACTTGCTCAGGCTCCATCCCGCCCACAGGAAAACCATTCACCTCTACAATCCTGTCTCCTGGATGAAGCAGACCTACACACACAAATACAAAAAAATAGCCTGTAAACTTCACATTTCATTTATTATTATGGACTTTTAAGTGCTTCTTTCAGTGTAAAGCTGAGTTCATTTTGCTTTAACACAATAATCACCCAGATTTTTAAAGTGTAGCACTTTCTTGGCTGTTTGGCAATCAAATAAAGTAATTCCAACTCCTGATTAGCAGTAAATATGTACAAAATACATGCAGTGTATATATATATGTATGATAAATATAGAAAAATAAACATTCTTGGAAGAAAACACTACCACTTCTATCAGCCAGCCCTCCGTGAATCACCCGAGCAATAAAGATCTCCCCGGTGATCTCATTTCTTTTTATTGTCGCTCCCTAGAAGAAAAAGGAGAAAACACAGAATAAATAAACCTGCTATAATGTGGAGTAGAGGCACGTAAATGTCAAACTGAATCAAAGAAATGAAAACAAACAAAGTAAATATTGCCTGTGGGAAGCCACAAAACACATCGGGGTGAAATGGAAGGTTTAATTGATGATAGTTTAGGCCCAAACTAAGTAGCAATGGCACAAGCAGAGCCTCAAATTCATACTGATGAAGGTACTGAAATGAATGCTCCAGACGTCAACCGCTGTTGGTGAGACGAAATGTGGAAAAAATGAAAGAATGAAACGGTCCTCTGAAATGAGCATGAACAAAAGAGGAAAATGACAATAAATGCAACAAAATAAATGTCAGCTACCACTGTGCATGTTTGCAGGTCAGCCATTCACTGAAGAGGGCATGAAAGAACTCTAGAAGTCCACACTTTCCACAAGCCTCCTTGTTTCTCAAGTCATCTTCCGCTTCTTCTTCTTCCGATTGTTTGAGCGCCTTCCTTTCACAGTGTTGGATGCCTCCTTGGGCTCATCTAACAAGCCATTAGTCAGAGGATGCTTGGACGCTTGGAGTGTGTGGACATGCTCCTTTTGTGGCCAAGGGGCATTTTTGGTTTTGAGGCTAGTCTGGGGTGACCCACGATAAGATACAGATAGACAGCTGGTCCCCTGGGAGGTGGAGGGAGCGTCCAGGAAGCTGCTGAGGGAGCTGGAGGAAGAAGGTGAAGGGAAGGAACATCTGGACTGGTGTGTCAAAGATGGACATTCACGAGTCTTTGGAGTTTGGATTTTCTTAGATATGCCGTCTCGCTCAGACACTGCAGGTTTTGGGGTGTTGCTATTGCCCCTTGTGGTGGCGAGGACCGTCTGCAGCCGTTCCACCACCTCAGTCAGGAGGACCAAAGCCTGAGAGTTGTCCTGCACTGTCTCCGTCATGCGTTCACTTGCCGCTGCCATCTTCTCCCCGAGGAGCTTGATGTCCTTGGTGCTGTTCTTCATGGAGCTGGCGGCTAGCAGCACTGTCGTCCTCAGCTCGTCCAGACTCTCCTGCTTGGCAAGCTCCACTGGCGGGATTTCCACCACATGATGTGGACGCATGGGGCTGGGGGGAGCCGTTCGGATGCAAGGACTTTGGTTTCTGAGCCTTGGAGGCAGGCCTGGCTGCAGGTAGTCATCTGCATTGGAGTAACAGGGTACAGTGAGGCAGTGGGGAGACATGGTCCAAGGCTGTGACGTGGGACGTGGGGACAGGGTGTTGCTGGACTCTCCGGCCTCATCCTCATTTTCACTGTTTATCTCTTCCATGATGTTATCTCCAATGATAAAACAGACATTATTAATCCACAAAAAATCACTTTACTGCTTTGGAAAATGCTTGTAGAATTTTAAAAGTGCTTAAAACTATAATTATGGGAGAATCAAGATCCAGATCTTTCCTTACCAATCAGAACAGAGCTGCAGACTGAAGGCGCAGAACAGTTCAGACTTTGCTTCCAGAGCAAGTTGGTGTAACAAACTCTACACTCACTCAGCGGCTTGCTACAGCACACCTGACAGTTACTGATTGGTTTACAATGAGGTGGAGGGCACGGCCGAGCCGCTGATTGATGACATAACGGCTCATTTAGAGGGTAGCTGCCTCTACGGACACTACACCACAATGAATCCTTGACATCCACGCTTCCAGCAGCAGGGCTCTGGATTACAAATGCACCACCTTGGTGAAGCCTCTGCGGGGGCACACATCTTTGGGTGTCCCAGTGACTGGAGCTTTTTGCACAGGGAGGTGAAGCACTAGGCGGCAGCAGCCTGTCTCTCTGGTTGGTGCAAAGCTGTGAGACAACAGAGTCACTCAAAGGTAGAAGGAGGTGTGAAACAAGGCAATGGAGATCAAGAACTTCCACTGGAAAAGCTAAAGTTTAAAAGATGGAATATCTTCTATAAAAACCAGGACTGAAGCTTCATTGACAAGAATCATTCTCATTATTAAAATCCTCTATTAAAGAAACTGTACACATTTATAGAATGTTGCAGATTAGTGTCTGATATTTCCAGACTATTTTGTTTTTTCCTTTAAAGCCTTCCCTTCTAGTAGTTTCTGCTGACAGGAAATCATCTGTAGCATCAACAGACAATTACACAAATGAGAGATTATAAAAATCAAACATATGGTCTCTGTTGAATTTGTTTGATTTATGTTTAGCAAAAAATCATACATATTAAAATCTTCATGTGCATCTGCTGACACAGTACTGGAATAACAACTGCACTGTGGTTGAGCTTATAGACTCATGTCTATGTGATTCACAGACAAAAAATAATAGTTTGTTAATAGTAATAGTTTATTCCACACAAATTAAAACAACCATAACTTCAGTCAACTTAATCAGTGCATCTTTCCAGAGACAGGGTCACAGTCACACATGACAATCCTGAGAACTACAGTCTTATGCAAAAGTTTAGGCACCCCTTGATAAATAACAGATTTTGGTGATTTTTTTATTTGAACAGATGTTAACACAGTTTCTCTTGGAAATGGAAAAAATGCACAATATTTTCAGCAAACAGTGATGCATAGTTACTTCTTATGCCATAAATTGAACAAAAATAAAAAATAAAAACATTATTATGGCATGGTGCAAAAGTTTGGGCACCCTAAGAGTTCCAGAGTCTCAAAGTCTCTCACAAGGTTTCAGACCTTAATCAGCTCGTTAGATCTGATGCACAGCAACAGCTGTCATTGGTAAATGCCAATTTCAAAGCTGTACAAATACCTTGACTCTTCAAACCTTGTGCACACACTTGTGGACACCCAGCAACCATGGGTTCCTCTAAGCAGCTGTGTAAGACCCTGAAAATGAAAGTTATTGATGCCCACAATGCAGGAGAAGGCTACAAGAAGATAGCAAAGCGTTGTCAGCTTGCAGTTTCCACAGTAAGAAATGTAATTAAGAGATGGCAGATCAGGGGAACTGTGGAGGTCAAGATGAGATCTGGAAGACCAAGAAAACTCTCGGACAGAACTGCTCGTATGCTGGTCAGAAAGACAAATCAAAACAAAATGTCCCAGTTTCTTTAGTATGTCTACTTCCCAAGGACACTCAGCTAAAAGATTCAGTTTCTTTGTGCCATGACTTCAGAGTTTGAAGCCATTTTATGCTCAGACAGATTTGTTTAATGGGCATCCCTAATCCCAACAAAGCTGTTTTAGTGAAGAGGGATTAAAAAAGAAAATTCATACATAACAATGTGGTGATCGCATCAAAAGTGACTTCTTTTTCAGGTCAGTGCCTAAATACTGAGTCAGTCAACTAAAGCAGAGCTTCTAAACTATATCACAGCATAGCAATGCTTAACTCTTAAGTGAGTAATAAGGCATTAGCTGTGGATCTCACCAGAGGTTGTTTGTTTTTAACCAGGCAGATGATCCGAGTGGCCTCCTCATCACCAGGCAGGTCCTCGGGCATTGGCGGCAGCACTGGCTCATAGTCCTTCTGGGCCACCATATCATGAGCTGAGAGAAAAGCCTAGAAGACACCGTGATCAGGCAGATTTTTTAAATTTCACACTGCTGTCTGGTGATCAGAATAAAAAGACACAGTACTTCAGTCAAAATGAGGGAAATCAGGTCAGAGAATAAGAACCGTGAAGTCTCACCTGTAGGTGGGGCTGCTGCAGCAGACAGTAGAGCTCTTTGGCCTCTTCAGAGCAGCCTGGTGATGATCTAATGCCAATCAACAACTGTGCAGACAAAAAAAAAACACATGTAATAAAAGAACATTTAATAAAAAACTTCTACTTCTGCAAGCAACAAATTATTAATAAAACAAGGTAGACTCTAACCTGAAGTGAAAGTCCTGAAGCATAGTCAAGAGCCGGTACTGGAGAATTTCTTAGGTACCACTGAAGGCACTCATAAATCTGAAAACAATGTCATCACATACTTTAACCTGTAATGATAAAATCATTTTCTGTATTATATATCATTAGGTTTTGATGTTATTTTGTGATTAAGTATGCTAATTAGTCTTTTCCAAAGTCCAAAGTTTCCACAGACTACTACCTCTTTTATATTTATGTAAATGATTTAAATGATTTTCTGCATTTACAAATATTTAGGATGTGGTACTCTAAGTGTCTAGGTGCATGGTGCAGAAGAAGAGTGTGTCTTGCAAATGCAAAGTGCCAAATGCCACCTGAAAATTAAAATCTAGGTGCTGTTCCTATGGTTCCTTTTCTATGTTCAGCCAGTTATCAACAGCAGAAAAAGTAACTAATCTCTGGTAGAGTTTTGTTGCAGAGTCCATGTCAAAATGATTAGTGAAATAGAGGACAGTGTTTGCACACCTTGAGCAGTGACTGTAGCCAGGAGGCGTTCAGCAGACTATGGAGAATCTCTGCCCCGTCAATGTCCTTTTTTACAGACCTCCTCACCTCCTCAGTCACATCTTCCAGGATCTGACGCAGGCCTACAACTCACAAGCACACACCGATGGATTATTAAGTGGTACATTAACAATAATAAATAGTAACAACAAGCTAATGTCTCCCACTGACCGTGCTCATCGAGGTCATAGTGGGGGTTCAACACCCGAGCTTCCGTCGCTTGCCTCATATTCATGGAACAGCCAACCTCTGACTCCAACCTCCTGCTGTTTACAAGGACTAGAATAAAAACCTAGAAAGATAAAGTAACAACTATTTAAGAGGAGAAAGGTGCAGTTTATTAAACATGTTGGCACCTTCCTTGTTCCTTTGGCCTCTCAGCACTTGACAGAGGCCTGTAGCTCCAATAAACCCCATAAATTGTTAGTGCGATTGGGGTTATGCAATAATAGGTGCACATCACAGCAGCTCCTAAGAGCAATTGTGTTAAAAATACAGAGATGTTTACAACATAATCTTTGGCTGGTGAACCATCAGAGAACAGCAATCACTTATATTAACAAAAACGTGAAATATGTTCAGAAAATATCTCAGATAATAATCTATTTGTACCCAGAGCAGATCAAATTGACATTAAAGAGGACACAGTAATGGACCAGTTGTTTAATCATCTAAGTTTAATCACATTTACTGCATTTATATTCCTGATCAGGACTATGAATAATAACAAAGGTGTGAGCTGTGCAAAATGACAGGTGTGATGCAGTCAAGCAAAAATAACATGCATGCAAGAAATAAAACAGGAGGAGCCTCAAGAGGTAAACAGCCATCTGGCAAATTTACGTAGTTAAAGAAGAGGAAGAGGACGGTCTCTGTGCCCTTCCTTTTCGCCTTAAAAATGCAACTAGTGTATCTTACCTCTGTGTCCGAGTTCTTAGTGATGCCAACTTTATCCTCCAGCTCCTGCAGGTTTTATTTGTATATATGATGGGAAAACACTCCCCAGAGATTAAATGGAGCACTACGATTGCATCAAGCTATGGGGGACGAGAGAGAGAGGGCTGTAATCTCTCACAATCCCCACTTAATCCCGGGCAAGTCCGCCCGCTTCTGGCCACTGGAAGCCAGTTCCTCCCTCACCGGCTGGCTGGTTACCACGGAGCTTCCAAATCTTCTTCTCTCTTTCAGCGGCACACAGGAGGATTTCTGGAGAGAGAAAGCAATGAATTGATGAAGAGGGATGTAGGTGCTACTTCAAAAAAGACAAGGAAAAGGCTTCACCACACTGTGCTCACAGTTTAGACAAGTGTTTTATGATTTCAGTTCTCAGGGGGAAAATGTATTTTGACTGTAGTGTAATAGGCAAAAAGTCAGCAGCAGTTGCAAAGGCCAAAAGTTCTTAAGTAATTAAAAGATCTGCTAATCTGCCACAACAGCTGGAGTTAATAGAGAGTTGACATGATGCTCAGAGCATTATGTCTTTACTCAAACCACAAATCTGTCAAGAATTGGGGTAATCTCCTGATCAGTAATCTAATTCCCATGGAGATTCAACATAATCTCCCCTCCCTCTATCAGACAACAAAGTCCTAAAATGCCTTATTGTCCCCAAAACACTGAGATGATATCTCCTCACTCAACAGAAACACACAGGGTCCGTGCTTGTTGGTTAATTCTCACCCTCCCTCAAAAAAAGCAGTGCCTGGAGGATTTATTAGTGCCTCAGCTGTGATAACACCTGCCACCTCTGACAAGTGAACAAACTCTCTTGACCTGTAAAACAAGAACACTGACATTTAAAAATAAAAATCCACTCATATAGCAGCTCCTCTTAAAGTCTCTGTAGAACTGGTTTCAAATATGTCAATAAACTGAATTATTCATGAATTAAAATGCAACAATAATAGTTAGTTTGTAAAAAAAAACGGAAGTTGATTAGTAAGTAACGTCCATCAAATGAGTTTATTGTCCTTTTATTATATTTAGTGGTACAATACATTGGACATCCTGTAAAAGACACAGGTGGGCATCATGTCAGCCATCTGAAACACATACGTCAGCTACAGTAGTAAACACCAAATTCCATTGACAAAACTGTTTTGTTAAACACACAATGCAACAGTATGAGGCAGTCTGGGGCATTTTCATAGTAAACAGGCATGGAGGTCAGTAAATAAGCTGGGTTAAAACATAAACCAACATGAGCTTATGAACAGTATCTTCAGTTTGTATCAACCACATTACCATTCAGTTTGGATTTAAAACACCATTTCATGAAAGGGAGTCAGTTAGTTTGCAACTAGTACATTGAATGTCCCATGTTGCATTTGTAGTTTGGTTTACAAGTCAGTTATACTGAATTTACTGAAAATATCAGTTTGTCCTTCTTTTCAAGTGGCAGCAGCAGCCTGTGTTGAGCATCTACACAATATACTGAAGAGAGCAGATAAAAACATAAAACAAAAGAACTTAAAAGTCTCTGGTGGTCAAATTCATGTTAAACCTGGGGAATATTTTAATTTCTGCCTACAGTGTGTCTATAGTTTTTGGGAGTTAACTTGTGAGTCACAATCACAGTATTGTTTCATTTGTTTAAGTGTCAGGCGCCTACAGTCTAATCAGGGAAGGGGTTATTAAAATCACTTTAAAGTCATAGAAGTATGAGATATGCAAATGAGATGTTTAATACATCTGTAGGGATATTTGTGCAAATCACTACATTTTATAACAGCTTAAAGAACTGCTCCGGGGACAATCCTTTACATTTTTGTTGAAATAATTTGTAAAAGCTTTACTATAGAATGCAGCCTTTAACTAATAATCATATTGAACCGTTATGAGCAAAGGTTTAGTTAACAACAGCTTTAAATTTTAGATCTGAATTCGAACCTTTTGATACCTTTTTTTATTGCTAGGATTTCAAAAATCCTGCAGCTTCTCCTGATGTATGATCGTCAAAGAGTCCTGATCCATTGACTTTTCTACTGTTCCACCATCTGATAAAACAAAACCCACGATAAAAAAAAAAAACAAAAAAATTTAATCCCTCTTAAGCCCCTTTATAAATTGGCATGTGTGATGCAAGTCGCAACCAAGCAGTCATGTCTAACAGTGCTGTAAATGGTTTAAAAAAAGAACAGTTAGTTTTAACAGCTGGTCCAAAGAATTCACTTTGAACATCACATCTGTAATAACCTGCCTCCAGATGAGCTTAATCAGGAAGCTGCAGCACTGTAAAAAAGATTTCTATTGATGATTGCCATTCACATACATACCATAATATAAGTATGTAAGGAAGGAAACCTGTCGCTAGTGTGTAAAGATCATGCATCTCCAAAGCTGTTCCAGAGTGAAGTAGCCCATTATCCAGTTTTTTGACAATGCAGTTTTTAAATGTTTAAATTATCTCCAGAAATAGGAGAGAATTTTAAATCAAATTAAAGAACACAGTTCTTCTGATTATGTGAAAACTTCAAAATGACCAACTTTGGAGACACGTGACTTACTGAACAAGTACAATGTGCAATGAGAATGCAGAACATGATGTTTCAGTGCTTCTTTGAATTTCTGTCACTATCCAAACTGTTTGCTGTTCAGTATTTTCTTTTTACACTGGAAACACTAAAGGTTAAATGGGAAGGTTTAAACCAAACTTCATG